AACTATAAGGCGTCAGCCCATGAAACCGAAAGACCCATCCAGTATTTTTTATATGCCCGACCGAAACCTACAAGACACCCAGCCTATGACTCAGTGGATAGAGCGTTGAACTTCTAACCAATAGGTCTCGGATTCGAGTCTTAGACGTCTATTAAGTCGGAAATTGTCACTTCAGTCTCTTTGAAAGACTTGAAAGGCTTTACCCATCACCGAGATCATGGCAAGAGAGAGAGAAATGTAAAATTCATTGATATGGCAGAAGGGTTTTCACAGACATCAGTCTTCATTTCTCATTACTTTATACCAATTTCTAAGTCAAGTTCTCTAAGTAACCGGAGGTCCAGCATTTTGCCATCAGAACATTTAAGTAGTTCTATCGCTTTTTTATGCGCGATCAGATTGTTTATGTCTTATCCTTACATATTCTGAACCATATTACTCATCAAACATTTGTTTTCTTTTAAAGGGTGCTGCTGGATGAAATCAAAAAAGCAAACATTGCGGGTTTTCTTCCAAATGATGTGGAAAAAATGACAGAATTAGCAAAGAACCTGACGCAATATTTTGACAAAATGGATTACGGGGTATGTCCGTTTTTGGCGCAGAAAACCTGTGTCTCATTTTGCACGTTGCTGGTTCTTGCGGCTGCCAAAATTCGTTATATTTTAGTTACTTTGTTATCCTACATTTTGTCTTTTTGGAAATAATGTTAAGCACAAAAATGGAGTTTTTAGCACTCCCGGGAAGTCATTTTTGATGATTTGATTTAATTAAATCAATTCTAGATTAAAACGGAGATTGAAAGAAGTGGTCTCAGGTAAGAGTGTAAAACGTGTTTTGCACAAGAATTTGCTGGGAATAGAGGCCGTAATTTCCCCTAGTTACTGCATCGGCGCCCAGCAAAGTTCGTGCTCTCAGCAAATAGAACACGAACTCACGTAGCCAGAAACCGTGAACTATTTGATGATCTATGAAACTTGACCTGGCAAAGTACGGCCTTTAACTTTAACCCTTGGATATCCCAGCGGGCCGGTAACATTTGCGGTTTGACGTGCTCAGACCGCAAATGATTTCTCGTTGTTTTATTTTTGCTCCCTCAGAGCTTGTTCCGACAAATTATTTGCGCGTCGCATATTTGCGTAGTCGGATCGTGCCCGCATACCGGAAAGCAGACAATGTTGGAAGTGGGTTCACCGATCATGTCAGGAACATATTCGAGTGGTTGTGTCTTGTGCGTCAATCCAAAGCCTGCTAGGCAGTCACTCAATGGCTAGTAATATAAGCAGAAGAAGCTTACCAACAAATCCAGGGGGAGGCACAGATGATAATTTCCGGCTGATAAGCCGTTGGCAGTCAAATTTACCCAACCTCAGGTTTTGGAGCACTTAAGGTTCGAAACCATATTCTTCTGCCTATCAAACGTTACTCAATCTACCTCGCTAAACATTTAGCCACTACGCCGTTCTTCATAGAAGCTATCTTTCCGTCTTTGACTGGTCTCATCCCCACAAATATTTCCTTAGTGCTGCTCGAACACATATCAGTTAAATAAGCAGTTTGCACTATATAGCCCCTCTTCATCGTACCTATTTATTTTCTAACGGTCTTTGACAGTAAGCATCTGTGTTTTGTAAATATAATTGTATGAACATATAATTAGAGAACTTCTAGAGGCTGTGTTCTTTCATAAATCATGCTTAAACAGGCACGCTGTGTTAGATACCGCCTGCAAAAATGGAAGATATCAAAGCCAAGCAATACTGACTGATATAAACGGCGGCCGATTATTGGCGCAAACACAAAATGATAATGGATTGTTTAGACACGTTTGAAATGTTAACTGTTTTTTTACACATTTGCTCAAGTCTGAAAACAACCTGAGGAACCATTTTCGAACATCAACCCCATCAAGTTGCCAATTTTTTCCCAAAGAACATATCTGCACTCAAATTATATTTCTCGGGATCTCTGCCTTCGAATTAGATAAATGTACATACACATGCAATTAGATGCAAACATCACTTTCGTTAAGCCTTTAAACTCATAACGAGAAGGAGTTTTGGTTGTAACCGTCAATGTCATCTGTCAAAGATCAGTAAAGTTTAGCTTTCCGAACATTGTAGTTAAAAAAAAATACTCAGCTACCTGTAGTAGTGGATTCACTATTTGGACGTCTTTATTCGTAAATTCATTGCTATATGAGCTTGCAAACATCATTTTCGGATGTCTGTCAATTCAGAGGGTTGACGGTGGAGAATTTATTAAATTGCATTATTGATGCAGTCTTGAAGGAAGTGGCAAGATCTGCATGGAGACTTAGTTCAGTCCAGCAAGCAGGTATAAGGCGGAAGATATGTTTGGGTCCAGTGTAACCCATGTTTAAGTAATGGAGACTGGATTCATAAGCGAATTCCCAATTACAAAAATGAAAGTTCCTTGTTGAAAAAATGTGTCCGAATACTTCATTTTGAAAGTAGAGGACTGGTTTATCATCTACTGGATTAGACAGTAGATCCCCATGCTCGTTGCACTATAGTACTAAAAAGCAATTTAGTCAATAAATTTCGGACATATCAGCGCTCCGGGTTGTACAATGCCTTTTCAAAAATACTTACCGTATGGAACCAAGAGGCGGCAGTCTTGTCGACCTTAATGCGACAACAAAAATTGCCTTATCAATTTACCTCGCCTGTTTCCACCTCCTCAACACTGATTAATAGTTTTCTGAGTGGCATTTCGACCGTCTCAATTGAGATCATATGTCCTTGGCCTCGTGGAATATGCGCAACACCGGTGACTTTCGCGTGAAGTTCATTATACTAAGGTAGACTTTCGCAGTATCTGTGACACTTTCTTCTCCCTTCAGTGCCAAGTCAATCGATTGTGGGCGCGGAAACAGTGGCTGATAAGATTTACTGGCACGTCTATGCGTGCCACACATGACCTAGCCCAAACAGACCGTATTATGTTTCCATAAGTGTGCGGCTTTGACCTCACATCATTGCGAGCACCATTAGAGCTTCACTGAGAGAGGAGCGTTTCAACCTGTCTTTCAGTCCTCCATTAACTCCAGCATGATGATGATGATAGTTCGAGAAGAAGAAATCGTTGCGATCACCGGAAATAAATTACGATTCCGGTGATCGCAAGTACTTCCTCTCCTAGACAAACACCTGGGATGCGAACCTTTATAGGAAGTAAGGCTACTACGGTTAACCCTAACGCCTACAATCTTCTAGGCGCGGTTCCTTAGGATATGGGAGAAGTCTTGGGAAGGCAGAGTAGACGGAACGTTATATTGTTAACAGAGATAGGGGAAAGTTGTCAATTGGTCTTGCAAGGCGTCCGACCGTGAGGCCGCCGTCGCCGCGACCGCGACGCGCGAGGCGCAATTCCAAGTGTCCTCTGACCGC